ATATAAGTGAGGAGTTGCCAGCTCGTTGGACAGATACAGCAAAAGTATTAAGGAAAACAGCTTCGTACTTGAAGTGTCATCAGGACACAGAAGAGAACGTATAGAAAAAAAATAGGGATGAAGAAACCCGAGTGAAATACAAGGACATATGACACAAGACAAAGGAAGAGGTATCATCTGCAGAGCAAAAGGCACATGAGGGGTTGTACAATCGTTTAACTCAAAGGAAAGTAAGAAACACCTATACCATCTACCTAAACAGAGCGACCGGGCTGGGAAAATATACATCAAGTTAGAGTGATGAAAGATAGAAATGGAAACATACTGACAAGTGAGGAGAGTGTTTTGAAAAGACAGAATAAGTACTTCGAAAAGTTGATGAATGAAGAAAATGAAAGATATAGAAGGTCGGAGGGAGTAAATATTGTAGATAGGGATACAGAACAGATTAACAAAATAGAGGTGAGGAAAGCTATATGGAGAAAGAAAAAGCGGAAAGGCAGTTGACCCAGATGAGGTACCAACAGAAGCATGGAAATGTTTAATAAGTTCGTGGAAGGCGTAAGGATTCCCAATGAATGGAGGAAAGGTATATATGTACCGATTTTCAAGAACAAAGGAGCTGTACAGAGTTGTAATTATTACAGAGGCATAATGCTCATTAGCCATAGCATGAAGCTTGGAGAAAGAACTCTGGAAGCTAGGTTGAGAATAGAGGTAGTAATCAGTGACCAACAGTTTGGCTTCATGTCACATAAAAGTACTACTAATGTGTTGTTTGCACTGAGAATGCTAATAGAGAAATATATAGAGAGACAGATAGAACTGCACAGTGTCTTTGTAAATTTAGGAAAAGCTTATGAGAGTGCCCAGAGAAGAGTCATGGTATTGTATGAGTGAGACAGTGGAGGAATGTGCATGAAGTTCGGCTTTATGCCCGTTCTTTTTTGCAATGGTGATTGACAGGCTGACGGATGAGATTAGACAGGAGTCACCTAGGACGATGTTCGCGGATAATATAGTCATCTGCAGCGAGGGGAGACAACAGGTGGAGATACCTAGAGATATAGAAGAATACAAAGGAGAAAAGAGGGATGAAAGTCAGTAGGAGCAAGACGGAATACATGTATGTAAATGAGGGGAGTTAATAGAGGAGAAGTGAGGATGCAAGGGCTAGCAGTGACAAAGGTAGAAGAATTCAGATATTTAGGCTCAACTGTCCAGAGTAATGGGGACTGTACCAAGCAAGAGAAAAAGACCAAAAAAACAAAAAGACCAAAAAGACCAAAAAGAAGGTTCATGGATGTAGTTCATGCATGCAAGAGGTCGATGTGACAGAGGAAGATGTGGCTGAGGATTAAATAAATTGGAAAATAATGAAGATGATGATGATGATAATGATAATAATTACAATAAGATAATAATGATAATAATAACAATTAAAATAATAATGATAATAATAACAATAATAATAATGATAATAATAATAATAATAATGATAATAATAATAATAGTAATAATAATAATAATAATAATAATAATAATAATAATAATAATAATAATGATAATAGTAGTGATGATAATAACGATAATGATAATAGTAATGATAACATTAAAGATGATAACAAAAATTATAATTATGATAATAATACTAACAATAATACTAAAAATAATGATACTGATAATAGTAATTCATGATGATGATAATGACAATGATGATGATGATGATGATGAGGATGTTGATGTGATGATGATAATGATAATGATTTTTATCATTATTTATTCATTTATGTATTTATTTATTTATTTAATTCTTTATTATTACCCTATTATTATTATTATTATTATTATTATTATTGCTGTCATTATTAATGTTACTAATATTATCATTTTCTTTATTTTCATTGTTATTATTATTATTATTATAATTATGATGATGTTGATGATGATTACCGTTATTAATATTTCATTATCATTTCCATTACGATCATCATCATTATTGTTTATCATTCGTATATGCAATAACATATCTCAATCCCATCATTACTTATTCCTATCATCCTCCCCCCCCTCCCCCTCCCCCCCACAGCACTTCCCTCGCCCTCCCCTTAACTTCCGGTCCTCCGCTGAGACGTGCCTTCGTCGCCCAGCCCGCAAATCCCGGGAGTTTGAAGGGATAGCAGGGTATTCCTTGGAGTAGGGGATGAGTGAGGACGTCTTTCGTAGGGCAGCGAGGAATTCTTTGTGTTTATAGAAGATTATCTCTGTGTGTAAACAAATAGTTACACTTATGTATGGATATATGGGTGTAGAAATACACCCATATATATATGTAGATATATACGTACACACGTACACGTGTAGTCACACACAAACGTACATGTATGCATAAAATAGCATATTCTAGATTAGTCAGCTACACATATATGCATGTTTCATTCTTAAAAGCACATCCTTTGAAAAGGCTTATTAGATTCCAATTTCAGCAGACCTGGTAATGAAATGCGGGTATATTTTACCGTAGACTTTTCTTTAAAAAAAGGTAAACAGAGGAAGGTAGTGAAATGTGGGTATGTTTTACGTAGATTTCAACAACTTGAATGAAATTTCCCTTTTTTATTTTCACTTTTTGTGTTGATAACATGATGTACACTCAAAATAGGCCAATATCTCAACTATGTATATATATATATATATATATATATATATATATATATATATATATATATATATACATACACACACATATACATGTATACAGACACATACATACATACATACATATATATATAAGTATGTAGGTATGTATGTTTGTATGCATATATATGAGTGTGTGTGTGTGTATACATACATATATCTGTCTATCTATCTACTCTCTGTATCCATCTATAAATCTCTCTATAAATATTCAATGAACATGTGTGTGTATACAGTCTATGATTTCCTTTCATCTCTACATTTTTCTGCCTTCCTCCCTCCCGCTCTTCCTCAGTCCACTGACGTGATTTCCCCCACACTGCAAATGCCTCTCCGACGCCATAACAGCAATAACAATGTGTGGAGAGTCTCTGCCAATGCAGGCTCTTCCTCGCAACAGCCTCCTCCTCCGACCAGCAAGTCACGTGTCCCGGTCTGCGGCTGTGTGAGGCTTGGATCCGGATACGTCACAACAAGCTGACGTTGTTTACGACCATGAATACTGAGTGTTCCTCGTAAGCTAATAAGAGAGCTGGAAAAGACACTCGGCAGCTAGGTGGACTGGGATCCAGTCTGTTTGCTTGTCTTCTCCAGATGTAATCTTCAAGAGGAGTGGAGTTTTTTTTTTGTGTGTGTGTGTGTCTGATGTAGGAAAATACTTGAGTCGACATATTGTTGCTATTTCTGAGAATTTTGTTTTTTTTGGTCTATTTTCTTTCCACTTCTTTCACACTCGAATGGATACTGGAGGGTGTATTCAGAATAATTTTCAATTATTTCTGTCTGTCTGTCTGTCTGTCTGTCTGTCTGTCTGTCTGTCTGTCTGTCTCTCTCTCTCTGTCTCTCTCTATTTCTCACTCTCTTTCTTTCTTTCCCCGTCCCTGCCTTTTTCTATCACAATTCTATCACAATTTACCTGATAATTCACATAAACAACAACACACACAAACACAAACCAACCAAGAATTTTTTGTCTGCATATATACCTACAGACATCCACAGACGCATAACACAAATAAACCATCACTCAAAACGATCGCCGAAGAAAAAGACACAATGGAACTGCTTCAATCAGCATTGCTCAGCGGTTCTTGTTTCCTTCGAG